CTTCCAAACGGACCTTGAGGTGAAAGTATTTGACTGTTTTGTAACAATCCCAAAAATGTCTGTTTCGTTGTCTTTGGTGCCACCTATTGCAATACGCAGCAACTGAATGTGTGTTTTTGGTTCTTACATTAACTTTAAGCATCCTCTTCTGTAGTGATTGCTTTTTTATTTGTTTGTTCGACTAAAGTAATTGTTTACTTTCAATGCCAGCAGAGAGCGGTGCGTTGTTTAACACACAAGTGGTTGCAATATGCAACCTCACCACTAGATGTCACTAAATCATACACACTACTCCTTTAAATGTTTCGAAATTGTTACTTTAATTATAATATAAACAATAATGTATATTTAGAAGTTGATTAAATTGTTGAGAATAAATTGACTAATTTGAACTGACCTGATGCATAAGGTCTAATTTAACTGGTCACATGAGGTTAAACAGACAGTAAGTACATATGGCTTAAGTTAGTGGCATTGTAAGGGACTACTTTGCAGTTTTCTATACTTTTTATGGTCTCAATGTCTGTCATTAAAGGATGAAATACTTAAGTCCTCCCTAAAACCTGCCTTCTCAAATACATTAACGCAAACTTGAACTCATCCTGATAACCATCAGTGACACCAGGCTCTAAAAGCCCCTAAAGAACAAAGTCCTCCTCGTGTTTCCAGTAAAGCTTGGGGGTCTGCTAGACTCCCTGTTAGAGTTCAGCACAGCTCACTTTAATTTGCCTCAGTCTGCTCCCCATTACCCAGCTTAAGCTACAGGTTAAATCTCCTGCATGCTGCTGTATTAGAGCAGACTGATGCGGCAGGTATGGCAGAACAAGTCTAGACATATAGACCGATGCCTTTCGACTGTTTCGCAAATGTGCAGAGGGCTCAAGGATCCCAGAAATATTCAGTTCAATAAGCTTCATGTCTGCATGACCTGGCATGACAAAAGCATCTGTCAAAAAAGCTCATTTACTAGAAGTTAGGTGGAAAATTACTTTTTCTGCGGGGGAGAGGGAGGAGTTCACCCATCATTGACAAATCAAATTCAAACAACAAATCAGACATTGTGCAAATGGCTGATATTTAGTATGTTTCCTATAAAGGATTACAAATTATGTTAAGGATGACATTGAATCTTTGATCAGCTCATCAGGGCCTGGAGGGCAGGTGATGACAACTGATGTCACACAAGAGAGAGAAAGACGTGAGGAAAGAGTAATAATTACTAATAAAACCTGAAAATGTTATAAGGGTGGTAATATATATTTTGTTAAGTGTAAAAGTCTACTACACAGTTTAGTGGTAAGAAACCAGTGACTTGTATATTGTATTTTTCTCTTTGCTGTTATTACTGCTTTCATCACTACTTTTCTTTACGTGTTCTATGTTTAACTGCATCAAGAGAAGCCTGCGAGTAAAATAACAATTGATACTGATTGTGAGAGCTCGCGACCCATCGGCTCAGTCTCTGCTGGTTCGAGTCCGGCCTGCGGTCCCTTTACGCGTGTATTCAAATCCCCTTTTAACACAGTCAGTCTCCAATAAAGGATAAACTGGTCCCCAAAAACTTAAAACAACATGTAAGGAAGTTTATTTTTTGAAAACGTCCTTAATATGTTCAGCCTACCTGCACTTGAGGTGTGAAACACGGAGACGAGAATCAACAGCAGCCATGTCTCTCGCACTGGACTCCATCGATCCATCATTTTGCATTTGAAGCTATCGATGCGTCGCTAGTAATTCCCTCGTGGCTCCCTTTCGTCACCTGAAGTCAAGAGAAGATGTTGGCTCTGCACGCGAGAGTCTGGACTGCTGCCTCGCGCACCTCACCGGCTGCTAATTAAGAGCGCGCACGAAAAAGGGCTGATTTCATGAATGGGAAATTATGTTTAGCAGCAAATACTATCCTGTATTCACGGTGTTTCTTCAGGGAGGACGGATAAAGAAGGGAGAGCAGCGGGGGGAAATCACTTAATCTCGGACGGGTTTTCCCTCTTCACCCGCTGACAACTTTCCTCACTTTCTCTCCTCTCCTCCCCCCTCGCCCCTCTCTCCTCCGGGGTGACCCCTCCCTCCCAGGAGACTGAGGAGTAGGCTACTCTTTACTTAAGTAATAGTAATACCACAGTGTAGAAATGCTCTGTTATAAGGAAAAGCCCTGAGTGCAAAAGTATTTGCATCAAAATAATGGTAAGTAACAAAACTAAAAGTACTCATGAAGAATACGAGTGAGTAACAAGTAGCTGCCTCGAACTTGTAATGGAGTACAATTGAGAAGTAGTAAAGTAAAGTAAAATATTCTCGAAAATGTACTTAAGTAAAAGAGCTGGAGTAAAAGTACTTAGTTACTTTCCACAAATGAGCTGTGCAGAAACATAATGACTGTGCGTGGCATTATTTGCATCATCTAGTCTGAGTGATGATGTCTCTCTATTTATCTCTCGTGCACACATTGGCACACATGCACCTTCATTGATGCTTCCGACACACACACGTTCAATAGGCTTCATGACATTTTTGATGCATTACAATACATGTTATTAAGCTAATGCCGTTTATCCAAAGCAACTTCCATACACTTAAGAGTCCGGCACATGCTTGTTGTTGGAGAAATGAAGGTATCTTGCCCAAGATCAATCTGACATGTCAACTGCAAATGTGGGATCTAATCACTGATCCATTAATAAATATAGCTTTATTCCCCCCTGAGCCACACAAGCTTCAATGTTTAAATAAAAACCTGCTTACAAAGCTTCTCTCAACAGGACTAAGTATGACATATCCAATATGAACAATACAAGATTGTGCCACTTTATAAGCAATGATCTCTCTCTACACAGACACACACACACACACACACACACACACACACACACACACACACACACACACACACACACACACACACACACCACACACACACACACACACACACACACACACACACACACACACACACACACACACAGACACACACAGACACACACAGCATGCTAGGACAGGACACCGTTGCTGCCCAACTAATAAAAATATGCTGCAGCAGATTCCAAATTCCAGTGCCTGTCTGTCTTTGCCCACACCACACTCTGTTCAAACACACATATTCTTCCAACAGGCATAATAATACAAGATATGTAAAATGTTACTTCCTGCCTTCTACTTCAAGGGTTTGTAATTCTTTATCTGTGGTGTGAAAGAGTCCAAAGTAACGAGCAGCTCATTGGGGAGGTGTCAGAAAGTTTATAGGAGTTTATAGGGAGCAGTTATATAAGGTGAAAGAAGGGAGGCTGATCAGAGCGCAGTGCATGCACACACATGCATACGTGCACATGAATACCTATATGGGCCTCAAGTCTGTCCTGTCCTGCTTCTGTTCCCATTTCCATTAGTGTGTATTGTCTAAGGAGATATGTGATACTTAGATAATATGTAGGCGACAATATGACTTAAAAAGATGTGCAGGTGAGTCAGGATTGACAAAAAACAAACAGAAAACAAGTTTAAAAGTAGAAATGTATCTGTATATGTAGTGTTATCATTAAACCTTTTTTGCACACTTTTAGTCGGAAAATATAACTTACACTTGCACGTTAAGAAGAGGGCTGGCTTTAAAGTGTATTTTTTTGTTAGTATAATGAAGGAATAACTACTTCTTGGCGCAATTTGGTGTCATTTTGCAGGAGCATTGTGTAAAAAGCAATGTATATATTGTATAGTTGTGCAGGTGAGAGCTAAATGAACCCTAAATGCTTTGCAGCCTCATACCAATAAACATAATTGTATTGTGTTTTTGTGAATGTACTGGAATTTGAAGACATTTGGGATATATAAGAGATAAGATACACAGTAAAATCCGGAGTGTTAATTTAACGCTCTGAGATAAGGACCATATGTTCACTGGCAGTGTTAACATTGACTCTTTAAGTGTTAAATTAACAAATTAACACTTAAAGGGAGGGATTTAAGTGTTAAATTAACCCTTAAGTGTTAAATGAACACTTAAAGATTGTTGGAGAAGCCTGTGACCTAAGATTTTCAACGACATAATTACTCTGTAGCTATGTTAGTTTGACAATAAAGAACCTTGAACCTTGAAGAGTCAATTTTAACACTGAGAGCCAGTGAACATACGGTCCTTATCTCAGAGTGTTAAATTAACACTCTGGATTTGACTGTGTAGTACTTTATTGATCCCAATTCTATTATTCTACAGGTGTAAGCATTTATATCATATGCTTGAAAATAAATATGCTGTAAATAAAGTGTCCAATTATAACAATAGGTTAATGTTTTGGTAAAAGTGCTGTTTTGGTAACAGAAGTAGATTGCATGCACACACACACACACACACCCACACACCTGCATACTGACTTTTTCTAAGAAAAAGAAGAAGAAATGGATTCCAGGCATATTTCCAAATGCCCTTCCTCTTGCTTCAAGTAGGTTGTCTTCAAGGTATGATTGTCAGCGACGCTTTAATGTTCAAGTGTGTATGGTTTGTGTGTGCGTGGGCAAAAGAGAGAGAGAGAGGGAGAGACATTTTTGCATGGTTTACTGATCATAATTATTACTTCTCTGACACTCTGATAAAAGGAGTCTTCAGGCATCATCACATACACTGGAGCCAGATGTGTGTTGCCTTTGATGAATAGGAGATGTCATTCCATTCATAGAGTAAGGGTGGATTGATTTAAACAATAACCATGTTGACCACTGGGCGGCGCTGAATATACAGATATGTGACTATAGTATAAAGTGGTGCTTATGAACTCAGAAAAGAGTGTCAGATGGTTTGTTTATTTTAGAATAAGCCATGTGTACAGCACCGTCATGGAATAAAACAAAGTAGATTGTCAATACTCCCACGGGGGGGGGATTGACCGGGGCAGCCAGCCTCAGATAATCTCACTGTTGTAACGCTGTGTCCATGTGACTCTCTCTCTGACTCTCTTATCCTCTTACAGCGGCTCTCACCTCAAATCGCAGCTCATCCTGCAGAGCCGCTGCAGACAGAGGGACAGCAGAGTGGAGAGGCAGCAGAAACATGGCGACTCCCGGGCAGAAAGTGGTGCTGATCACCGGCTGCTCCTCCGGCATCGGCCTCAGGATGGCCGTGATGCTGGCCAAGGATGAACAGAAGCGCTATCACGGTGGGTGACCTGTGTGTGTGTGTGTGTGTGTGTGTGTGTGTGTGTGTGTGTGTGTGTGTGTGTGTGTGTGTGTGTGTGTGTGTGTGTGTGTGTGTGTGTGTGTGTGTGTGTGTGTGTGTGTGTGTGTGTGTGTGTGTGTGTGAGAGAGAGAGACGTATTGTTTATTCGATTTGATTGAAGTTACGCATCAGTTATGTTCAGCTGCTCTCCTTGAGGGTTGTTTATTTACTGTTTTAACTAGCCCGTACAATATGCTTTGGCAATACTGTGTTTTCATATGGACATGCCAATAAAGCTTATTTGAATTTGAGAGAGAAATATATTATTTTATTCAGGATTTTTAAAAAGCACACTGGTTTCTTACGCTTTAACTCTGCTTTTGTTCAAATTGTATGTATACTCCACATGTTTATGTATAGATTTTGTTCCCACAGTCATTAATTATACAATTCTGTGGCAATACTATATGTCGAATTGAATTTGAGAGAGATTTGTTAATTTATTTTACTATTTGTAGACAGTGGCTTGTAATAAGGCTACATTTATACTGCCAAAGCATATTGACAACTTATATACTGTAAATAGTTAGAACTTTGAATTGTAATTGTTACATGATTTGTTAAACCCTTTATACATTTGCTGTTACTACCGGTCCTCAACTAGAACTGTGTACAGTCGAGTATTATAGCTCCACGTGATTATGTAGATTAAAGCCACTGTGTCTGTGCATCTGGATTCCCAGCAGAGCAGGGATTCCCTCTGAAGCCGACTGAGAGGCTGTTTGCAGTGTTTTGATTATTTTAAATTTGAACCACATGAGGGCAAATGAGGATCCCATTAAGACATAATAACTGAGAATCAATAACACAACTGTTTCATGAAAGGAAATAAACCGAGAAATTTAGCAAATTTGAGGATATGTTTTCAAACTGAAGAGGAAACTGCAGCTTCCAGTATTTCCTCTCTTCACAAGGAGAGGTCACAGTTCACAGTCACAGATGATTTACGGACCTGATGGTAGAGGCCAAATACTTACTTGCAAGTAAGTATGTGCTGTGTCTTTTTTAGCTAAGGGGTCCTATTGCGCTCGTTTTTAGGTTCATATTAGTATTTAGTGTCTCTACTCTGACATGTCTACATGCTTTAATGTTCAAAAAGCTCTTTATTGTTCTCATACTGCCTGTGCTGCAGCACCTCTTTTCACCCTCTGTCTGAAACCAGAGCCCAGTCTGCTCTGATTGGTTAGCTGGCCGGCTCTGTTGTGATTGGTCAACCGCTTAGAGATGTCCCTAACCATTAAGGCAAATGTAGAACCTGGACATCTAATTAACTTAGAGTCAAAGTCTAATCTTCAATTTAATAAGACTTATATTCTTCATAAATTGTATTCCTTGAGCATTTGTTTTTTAAATTGAGATGCATTGTTTTATTCCGTGAAACTTTTTTTGATCATTTTTTACCAATTGCTGGCTGTTTTTTATTTTTCAGGCCATTGCTAAAAACTAAACATAATCTACATTTTGTATCATAACTAGCCCATACAGAAGGTGTTTTGCTGTGTTTTGAAAAACAAATACAAATGTTTAGTTTAGAGTTTTTGTTTATTTCGCTCAACTGACCCAACTCAAATTCATATATTAAAATAGTAATAGTCAGTACTTTAGAATCAATCTTATAGTGACCAAAAAGTCTGAAAACCTAGCTTTTAACATAATTATTATAATACTAAAATATCACCATGCAACAATTTCTGCATTTTCCCCTATAAAAATAAAGGTATGCATCATTTTTTTTTTCAATGTTCACTCAGCTTACCTCCTGTCCCACACATAGTAATGTCTCTGAACTCAACACAACCTAACCTTAAGACACTCTTAGGATTCTGGTAACACCAGACAATAACTAAAGCCCTACTATAGCCGTGCTTAGGCTAATTATGGCTCTGACTGTGCTATTAATGGAGGAGGCAGGTGACGTGTGCACCACGATAAGACACTAATGCTCATATTAACTATATATAATGAGCACAGCAGGTCTATATTAAGGCTTCTTAAGGCTATCTTTGCTACCTTACCTAACTAAGCTTTTTCCATTGTTGTGACATTTGAGTTATTCAGAATGTGAAAAAACACAGGTTTCGCCAGGAAAGGGATGTTTTTGAACAGTTTCCGTTTGTGTGTGTGTGTGTGTGTGTGTGTGTGTGTGTGTGTGTGTGTGTGTGTGTGTGTGTGTGTGTGTGTGTGTGTGTGTGGTACTTTACCCTCCATTTGCACCTACCATCTCTTGTCTCTGACAGTATTTATCAGAGTTCTTCATGACCTTTACTCCCTTCTTTCCGTTCACTCCTATGACAGGAAACATACACACAAAGACAGGATCAGTCAGGGAAGATATTCTCTTCTAAAAACATGTATGCACACACACAGACAGAACATGTATTAGTGCTGCACCAGAGCCCAAAAGAACATGTTGTACTTGACAACTTGTAAAACACACACATATGGAAACACTGGAGTCTGGCTAACGAAACACAATGTTTGTATTTATGTGTGTTTTGCGTGAGCCTACATGAAGCCTAAGCCAGTAAACTCAGTTTGATCTCTCAGGATAGTAAAATTGTCTTTTTTGTTACCGCATTTACCTGGGCAGGTTGCCTAATCACATTACAACAGCAGCCTAAAGGCGTAGTGCGCTGGAAGCTGCCCATAGAAATAAAAATAGTTTAATTATACGCAGAGCTATTGGCAAACAGAAATGTTGGAAATAATAATGCCTGCACACAGGTCAACATGGCAAGATGAAGATCCAATTAGGATTCAGATATTTAAATCAGTGTGGAGGTGCTACTCTCTTAATAAGAGCAGCAAACACCACAAGCTGTGGAAAAGCAAAAGAACAATAACTTGTGAGTGTGTGTCTTTTATCGTAAACATATCTATTATCCTTCATGTTTTCTCGGGATCGTAGTCTTTCAACCATAGACTGTATATATAACACACGTTTCCTGTTTCACAAATATTGCTCCATATGGGATTTAAATATTGCACAAGTATTGCTTTTTCAACTAAATGTTGAATGATTAAGATCTACAAAGGATCATAACATGTGTTTAAAATACAAAACACACAAAGGTATGTGTATTGTGAGGAAAGCACATGGGTGCAAAAAAAACAATGCAATAAAAAAGTGAAATACAAAACAAAAACAGATGTTATCTTAGTTTATAAAAATAAGTCTACAAATAATACTAAGTAACCAATACTGTACTGTACATACCTGATTAAGATAGTAATGTTAAAATAAAACTGTTGTAAACACCACAAAAAATTACTGACAAATAGGCTACATAGTGAAAAGTGAGTTTAGATCTAAGTGAAACAGACTATGGTCCTCTATTCACCTTATTAAAATCCATGTACATGGCTGGTTATTACATGATTAAGGCTTTTGTAAAACCCAAAACATTCCTTAACAATATTTTCTACATTTAAGTTTCTGTCTTTCCTTCCTTCCCGCCTATTCAGTCATAGCAACGATGCGTGATCTGAAACGTAAAGATAAGCTGGTGGAAGCTGCCGGGGACGCGTACGGGAAAACTCTTTCTCTGGCCGTCCTGGACGTCTGCACCGATGAGTCCGTCAAACAGTGTATTAACGGCATCAAAGACAGACACGTGGATGTCCTCAGTGAGTAAATGCACCGTGCATTCCTACCCTGTCCTAAAGTGATGTTCCCACTTAACCTTTATCCTCTGTTTTATTCTCCTTTTCCTCACCAGTCAATAATGCCGGTATCGGCCTCGTGGGTCCGATAGAGAGCATCCCCATCGATGAGATGAAGAAAGTGTTTGAGACCAACTTCTTTGGGGTGATCCGCATGATCAAGGAGGTGATGCCTGACATGAAGAGAAGGAAAGGAGGACACATCATCGTGGTCAGCAGTGTGATGGGGCTGCAAGGTAAGCAGACAGGATGAATGATGAAGAGGAGGGGTGTAAAGTTTCATGGTACAGGGAGACATGACAGTCTGATGTATGCATGTGTTGGTGACGGACAAATGGAAGAGTGGGTGGATGGTTGAAGAAAGGCTAATGAAGTACAGATGGATGTCTTTACAAAACAGTGAACAAGAAGAACAGATCTATTTACCTGGTCATGTTGTCTGTCGTTATATATTCTCTGTTTTCTACAGGTGTGGTGTTCAATGACGTGTATGCAGCTTCCAAGTTTGCGATGGAGGGCTTCTGTGAATGTTTGGCTGTGCAGCTTTTGAAGTTTAAAGTCACGTGAGTAGCTATTTCCTTTATTAGAAAACAAACTGAAGATTGTCCTGATAATAATCTATATTAAAGAAACTCCTGAAAGATTGTTTAGTTAGGCATTAAAGTTAGTAAGAGTCGCCGTTCAGTGAGTCTTGCAAGAGTTTTTGCAAAGTTTTTCTAAGAGATTAATTCTATACACAATCAACATAGATATAAACAATCTGACATTAAAGGGGACCTATCATGCAAAATGCACTTTTTGATGTCTTTTATACATAAACATGTGTCCCCGGTGCGTCAGGGAACTCACGCAGCGTCAGAAAATAAAACCCTCTCTCTTTTCCTCCGTACCCAAATCTCTAAAAACGGGGCTACAACGGAGCTGATCCAGATTTGCGTCCGATATGACGTAATATCGGAAATGTGGACCCACAGCACTATCAGAAACGTTGCTATCAGAAACAATGCCCGACTGTTTTGGATGTAATATGGTCGGTGTTTACATTAGCATTGCTAACACTCAGAGCTAACCTGTACTGGAGAGCATGTGTGTGAAGAAGCAGGAAATAAAAAGGAACTCACCTTGTGGTATAACCGGCAAGAGAGAAAGCCTTTGAGCTCCATACTGTTTCAGAAATAATCCTTGATAATCCATGATATGGCGTTTCATCACCGCAGTATTTAGTTTAGACAGTAGCTGCCGGGTCCCGCATGAGCTCAGCCCCTTCCTTTTTTTTTTATCAATTTTTTAATTTTTTAAGCTTTATACCCAAAATCAGCACTTTTGAAACAGGAAGTGAAATAGAGGGATATGAGGCATGGCTAGAATGGGTGATCTGTTTGGTATTTTGAGCAAAACACTTCATAGACATGTTTTTAATATATTTTTATATATCTGAGACCTATGCTATTGCCTAAAAATAGCATGATAGGTGACCTTTAAATAAAAAACTCTAATGATGCGTTTCATTATTGTTATTCATTGATTATCTTCTGATATATTGTTAAGATAGTTGCAGTCTGAGAGTATGAGAATCATTTATGTATCTATAGATTATACTGACAGTGCAAGGGTCTTACAGTCTAAACATAGTCAATTTGTTTAAATTTAAGCAGATTATACCCACATTTTAAAGGCATTCATGAAGCACTAGTGTTACCCATTTGAGCTCTTACTCTACTCTAGTCCCAGTCTTTTTATGTTATCATCCCCTTTGTTGTGTGTCTCTCTCCTCAGAATGTCAATGATTGAGCCGGGCCCGGTGCACACAGAATTTGAGGCAAAAATGATTCAGGATGTGCAGCAGAAGGAGTTTCCCGGAGCAGATGCTGACACGGTGAACTACTTCAAGAACGTTTATCTTCCTTCATCTGTGGACATCTTCGAGACACTGGGACAAACGCCTGACGACATTGCCAGAGTAAGTCCCAGTAAGCAGTCTTTGTCTGCATCTGTGATTAATCCTGTAAGTCTGACGGCAAATCTTTATTTTTTTCCATCCTCTTAATCTCTGCAGTGTGTCAAGAAAGTGATAGAAGCAAGCAGCCCGCGTTTCCGTAATCTGACCAATCCTTTGTACACGCCCATCGTAGCGTTGAAATACGCCGATGAAACAGGAGGCCTGTCTGTCCATGCCTTCTACCACATGCTCTTCAACCTGGGTCCACTGATGCACGTCAGCATGACCGCCATGAAGTACCTCACCTGTGGATGTCTGAGGAGCAGGACCATTTCACCAAACTAAAAATGTATTATGGGAACACTAGAACACAGTAAAGACCACAATTTACCGTGGCACGTGTTATCAGTGTAAAAAACAAATACATACATAAATGCACAAACGTTTATCTTATTTGACCTGCCATATTTCACTCTGCATAAATGTAGTCTGTTTTGTTATGAAGTAATGGTAAATGGAATGTACTTATATAGCGCTTTATCCAGTCTTTACGACCCCTCAAAGCGCTTTACATACTACATGTCATTCACCCGTTCACACCCATTCATACAGAGCAGTGTACCTTACTCTAGGAACTAACATTCATACACATTCACACATCGTTGGCCATGCCATCGGGAGCAACTCAGGGTTAAGTATCTTGCCCATGGATACATCGACATGTTGACTGCATGGGCTGGGATCGAACCCACAACCTTCTGGTTGAAAGGTTCTTGATGTTGAAGTCTTGTTTATCCTCTCTTTTTTTGTATAAGATTGTAGCTTATGTACGTACAGATGTCACACCTGAGTTCAATTAGGTTGAAATACTTCAACATCTAAAATGATTTTAGCCCAGGGGTGTCCAAACTACGGCCTGGGGGCCAAATGCGGCCCGCGGACCATTTTGAATCGGCCCTCAGCAAATAAAAAAAGTATAATGGAATATGGCCCACAAATGAAACTTGTGCTTGTCTTATATTGTACTTCTTAAATATAAATGTAAAAATATATTACAAGGTAGTATTCATGTGTTAATAAGACCACTTTTCAAATAAATTCAGTCAATTAAAGTTGGAAACATTTTCTAACATATCTTAGTTGATAAGAAAAAAGCCCAATAACTTATTTACATAACAAGCTTGAAATACGCCTACATTTGATTGATTTAGCAAATTTATAACTGAACTTATGAGGCAATATACCTCTAGTGAGCGGCCCAACCCTTCGTATATTTTTCTGTATGTGGCCCTCGGTGAAAAAAGTTTGGACACCCCTGTTTAAGCCAAACCGGAGTGCCAAATTAGTAGATCAAACATAACATACTGTATAGTTTAGTTTCATTATTTTACCTCAACCAGCCCCAAAGGAACTCACATTGCAGACTGTTTTAATTGGTTCAAAAATAATTGGTCTACACACCTTGTTGATTTGTGCTATATGTGTACATATATATTTTTCGAAATTCTGTGAATATTTTTGAGCTACTATTTTGGCATAAAAATATGTAAGAAAATGAATGGACCTAAACATGATGACAACATCTACTCATTCATCTTGACAACTTTACCAATTCTTTATCAATGTGATGTTTAGATACCACAGAGAAGACTTGTCCCCTTTTTCTAAATAAAAAGTTAATATTTATACTGCGTCTCCTCTTCCTTAAAGAGTACAAAAGAAATCATAAATGATGATATCTGTATAATCTGTATAAGACTATTAGTGTGATTAAAAATGGTGACTTCAAGAAAGTTTTAACTTGATGACCTTCTCATTAAAATGTCTTGTTCAAAAGACCATTCAGTTGTTTTTGCATTTTAGCCCATTTGCTATGCTTAAGCTAACCTGACATTACTGCTTTTGTTCAAACTTATAATGTAGGCACAATATAAGTATATATACCTCATAGACTGTATATATATATATATATATATATACCTCTGAGGTGGCCATTTGTGATCTTATATTGTGCTTTGAAAAATGGCTGGCACTTGTGTAAGGTAAATACAATCTCGTAAAAGTGAAATCTAGTTATCTCTGGGTAGAAAAAGCTAGCTTGTTTGGGTGGGAGTTTCTTCTAAATTAGCTTGAAAAGGTTAATAGTCAAATATTACTAATAGCAATTTCCACATGTATGACTTTCCAAACAATGTACGTTTTACATGAAAGTAACATAATAATTAATATTGTTGTGAATATAACTGGACTCTTACTTACTTTAGTTCATTTAATGAGTAAACATTTCCATTTACCTGCTGCTTCCTCTGACACGTTCGAGTCGTCGGAGCTCAACTGCTCGAGTCTGTTTGAGACAGTCGCGGGAAATTTAAATGTAATCGATCCCCGAATGATCGAACATCAAAATAAACTTTCCATGGACGCCGCGGCGTTGCCTCTGTAAGTCTGTCACACATATTAACCGATACACATTTATGGATAAGTTGTCATCCCAACGATCTGGGTGCGTTTGTGTGTAGAAAACATAGCCGTTACGTCTATGGATTAATATTTTACTTTGCTTTAAGCTAAAAGTATTACGAAAGTAAAGTTTAACGTTCAAACTGCTACCGTTAGCTTAGTTAAGCTAACACTAACTAACACACATTACAACATATTAGATCTGCCCTAGATGTATTTAATCTTAAGTCATGTGTGTTTGTGGTGTGTGTGTGTGTGTGTGTGTGTGTGTGTGTGTGTGTGTGTGTGTGTGTGTGTGTGTGTGTGTGTGTGTGTGTGTGTGTGTGTGTGTGTGTGTGTGTGTGTGTGTGATTAAGGCCGAGTGAGCAGAAGGCAGAGCTGTGTGGAGATAGTGTGCCTTTTGATGAGCAGCTAAGGACCACACTGCACTGTGATGATAAGGAAAAGGTACTGTATATATTAGTCTGTAACTTATACAATTAAGCTTTAATTCAATGTGTTTATTAAGTAGAACATGTACAACAATATAAGGAAAGAGATAGATCAATGTGTGATCAGTGATGTTCAGTAGTTGTTGTTTTGTTTCTTTTTTAAATGCCTCAGTTCATTTATTGTACACAGTACAGTACATAAAACTCCAATAAGGGATGTGTCTCCTTACAGTTACTTTTATGGAAAAATAAAGTACCAAAATTAAATATGAGAAAGGAAATGTAGTTTTCTTTTCCTCCACTCCAGATTTCTACTGTAATATCATTTCAAGTACAATGGGAGAGGGAAAATATGTAATACTTATCAATCATACTTCAGCTATTAAAACAGGAAAACTATTATTGTCAATTTTGAAGATGTGTTGTCCTGAAGGATGTATATCAATAAAAACGTTGAAGTGAACCTATTTATTTTTTAGGTTAAGGTTAGCCTAAGTAATTCCTTTGGGTTAGGCAGACAAAAGCTATAACAAGCTGCTACTGACAACTATTGAACATTTTCCCACTCAGCTTCGTAGGAAGTTGGCACTGTTACAAAGGGAGTACCTCAAGACAGCTCAGAGACTACAGGTAAGAGAGTTTTTAATTTTTCTCCTATAAGCTCTTTCTAGAAATGATCTTTCTCACACTCACATTGTATCTGCTCACAGCGTGCTGAGCGTTTTGACGCAGTGCGCAAACACGTGAGGAGCAGAATCAGTCAGCAGAACCAGGGAGACCCAGATGTGACATCCAACCCCCGTCTCAGCCCCTCTCCATTGATACTGAATGCCACCAATGGGGCCGCCACAAGTGAAGCTCAGTGCGAGGGACACACTGGAGGTGAGTCCGTCTCACAGTGCATAACTACAGTAACAATTAGATAGGAGCAGTGGCGTTTTTATATGTACAAAAGTGGTGGGGCACAAAAAACTTAGATGTCTATATATAAGCTTCTGCAGTGACGTGCAGTGAGGTTCATGGCTGGTGAGGCACTGGCACTGACTCTTCAGGTTTACAAATATTATATTTTGACCTAAACCAAAATATAATATTATTTTCAAAAGCTTTTTTTGTCTGATGCTTCGATTAATTTTAAACAGACAGTTCAACAAAAGGATACCCAAAAAATGTAATTTTATCATTTAAATATTGAATTGTTCTCTCTTAGTAAGATCCCATTTTCAAAAAATTGCGGTCTTACCTTGACTTGAAGATGAAGTCCATTTGCCTATCCTTCTGGACAAAAAATTCTATAACTTTTTTGTAAAAGTCCTCCTTATCTTCTTGTAGTTTCAAAAGTCTATCATAAATCTAATCGATAGATTTATGATTCGAAAATTATAAAAGTAGGGTAGACATGTGGATATTATCCGGCTGAACAAAACGTGCATTTATCTAACAGGTACGTTTCCCACAGATCTTATTTCAAGCTATTTTCTAAAATCCTCTGGAGAAACCTCATTGCTTTTTTGCAGCTTACTTCCTGGTTTTAGGACGCGTCACTGCAGCTCTCTCGTCTCCTCTTCACACACACCACACTTTTCGCGGCACACGTACTTACAGCCAATCAGCTCTGAATGAGCTTTTTTTTTGCCACACACATTACATTGAAAAATACTCTGAGCATGCGCAGTGTAGTTTTTACAGTCACCGTTCACTTTGACAGTGAGAGGGTGGGGCATGATCAGGTTTTGTCCCACATGGCTCAAAACGGCACTGTAGACACTAATTAGAAGAACACAGACTAAAACAGCAATGTACAGACGAATCAGATGATTAAACATGACCTTAAAATATATTTTATATATTTTTTAATTTCTTTTTTTGCATCTCTTTGCATTTTTTGTCATCATTATGTGTAATACTTTCTGCTGACACTAGGTGGGGCTGTGTCCCACCTGCCCCTAATGACCAGTCGCCACTGGATAGGAGTGTATGATGGAAATTATTTAAAAGTGATACAGGGAATGCATTTGTTTACTAAAAGGGTTGCTGTAACCATGCAAAAAAGCATATATAACAGATATATAAAAAGTCATCCAATATTGATGCAAAGGCTCTGGTCATGGCATGTCAGAGACGGTATTTTTTATTTTTTTATTTATACTTTATCCCAGTTATCCCATTTTCTTCTACGAATTAGCGCACTCGAAAGACTGCAGTTATAACATTACAGCTATTGTTTTTGTTAGTGTGTCTGTAGGCTGCTTAGAAATATCTAGGGAGATTGTGCTAGGACAGGAGGGAGATATTAGGAGACAAGGGTTGAAGGTAAGAGGGCAAAATAATCTGTAACTGTGGCTAATTTAGTCACCTAAGCACCAATATATTTGTTATTGGTACATATTTTTATCAGTATCATAAATCCTTTATTTGTTCGGCAACGGGAAAATGTACATAATCACAACAGCAGAAAAATATGCTAAGTATGCACCTGGATATGTTCATGTCTGTCAATTATTTTTACGTCCTATGCATTTTGCCACACAAATGGCTTCCTTTCCTGTCCATCTGTCATCACTCTGAGAATCAGCCAATGTTTTGTCTGTAATAACAGTAGTACATTTTCAATTGTTTTCCCAGGTCTGGTGGATTCTGATAACTCCAGGAGGAGCCAGGTGATCAGGTTCCTGCTCCCTTCTGAAGATCCTTGCACTGAAACCCTGACTCCCAGCCATGACACACCCGGAGGTCACAGGTCGAGCACCGCTCTGCGCCTCAGGTCTCGACGCAGCCGCCTGCGATGGGAGAGGAGGAGCGCCGAGGCTGGCAGGAGCACAGACGACAACAGTGAGGAAGGACAGGAGCCGAGTGAGAGGATGGTGGTTGGGAGTGAAGGGGGAGACAAAACACAGGGAACAGAGGCTGTGAATGAAGGTGAAGAGCTATGTTCTGGCACTGAGTCTGAGTCTCCATCTCTGCTGCTGACACACTGGAACACAACGCAAAATGAAACAGGAGATATCGAGGGAAACCAAATACAAGGACAACCAGAACAAAAGGGAAAAGAGACCGAGTTAAGATCTGAAGGGAAAAAAGAATCAGAGTCAACTTCTTTGGTGCCTTCATATTGGGACCCTGCAGACAGGGAACTAAACGGCGCAGAGCAGAGGAATAAAAGGCTTTGTGAAAACAGCAGTGATAAAGACAATGAACTAAATTCAGCAGAGAAAACAGAAACGGAAAAAAGTCATGAAAATACAGCTGAATTAAAAAAAGAAAAAAGTGAGATGGTTGGATCGGGGCATGATGTAAAGGCTGTGAGTCTCCTTGACTCCTGTACCCTCGTGGAAGGACTACTTTTCCCCGCAGAGTACTACGTCCGAACCACAAGGCGTATGACCCAATCGCAGAGCCAGCCGAACATGCAGGCTATCATTCTCTCCCAGCTGAGCGCCGGGCGACGTTGCAGCAGGCGGGGCCGCGGCAGGGGATCGAACCGGGACACACCCAACCCTGAACGTTCAGATCAACACACTGATACAAGTTTATCTGCGCCAACCGCTGCATCTGTAGTTCCTTGTCTGGACTCACAGCCTGCTGAGCCGAACACTCAGAGCTCCAGCGAGATTTCAGATCGAGTCTCAGGTTGTCAGATCGACACGGATGCTTGTTTTTCTCCTATTGTCACCTCTGCTCGTCCAGCAAGAGGGAGGAGGAAGAAGAGAGGAAGGGGAAGAGGAAGAGGGAGACCTCAAACCCCACGATGCTCTCTCAGTTTAGACTCCAATCAGCTAGGCCTTGCACAAAAAACCTCAGACGATCCCCCGGCAACAAGCTCCCCGGTCGATTCCTCCCCGTCTCTTCATGGAGCTGATGGATCAAAACCCTCCGTCTCTCCGGTGCAGGACGTCCCACAGCCTGCGTCCACAAACAGCACAGATACACCGCCTTCCTCTGGGGTCATTGTTGATCCGTGTAGCTCTGCATCTGGACCTCTGGGGAAGGTCTTTCCCATCTTTCGTAAGAGCGGCGAAAGGAGTAACGGATCCACTCAGATCAGTAGAGGTAAGGATTGTATTCGGACTCTGTATGTTAGGACTGCCTTCTCTTAGTTGTGGTCTGTTTGTCTCTTAGTCATGGATTTCTATCGCAGATTTTTTATGTTGAATGACCTCATTTCAAGAAACTAATGGGCACATCTTTGGTAACTTCAGATTTATATGTGTGCTTTACAGATCTGACGATTAAATCAACCAAATGATTAGTTGGCCCCATTTTTGTGGCCGGCTCTGTTGTGATTGGTCAACCACTTAGAGATGTCCCGCCTCTTAGCCTATCACGTACAATGTGTTGGAGCGCTATTCCAATAGAAGCGCGAGTGTTACATTGTGATGTCAATATCTTCCAGAAGTAAAATAAAGGAGGCGTTTCAGGGAGTGTGTGGGAGAGAAACTTCCTCTGAAGGGATTTGAGCCTTTCTGAAGTGGATTCAAAGCTGACTGCATCTTTATCTTGAGATGATTTCCATCCATTAAATGTTCTTTCCCTTTTGTGTGTTGCAGATGCAGCGAGCTGGCAGTGTCTCCTCCTGCCCTCCTCTCCCCCGGCCCAACCTTCTCTGCTCCCTCTCCCCTCTCTGTCTCCTGGCTCGCTGTTCAACAACTTTGACACGATCCAGGATTTCCATCTCCCTGATGACCAGTTTGCTTTTCTTAAGCTGCACAAGCTCCGCCAAGTCGAACCTTTTACCTCGCCGTCTTACAACACGCGCAGAAGCAGCCGCCGTTTTGTTAGCAGTGACTCAGAGAGGCGTCTTCCACTGCCGCTCAGCCTCACACCCTCCATCACAAAGTCACCCCAGACCACTGAAGCAAAACAAGCTGCGACACTACCGCTCAGCCTCAGACCCACCGTCACAAACTCACCCCATACCGCTGCTGCTTCACATTCTGACCTGCAAAATGTGTCAATAATATACAGCCAGTCCTTCACTGAAGACCCTGAACAAGTTATTAAGGAAACCCTTGGAGAGCAGCAGACTGAAAACCTTCAGATAGAGTGTCAGAGTTGCGCCACCTCAACAGTGTCTGAGTCAGGGGTTCAAGATTGTGCTGGTGACCGCGTTGATCAATATAAAAAGCAAGAGAGTATCATTCTGAATACTCCCCACACTGTCGAACCACAGCCTCACATCAGCTTTGCAGACAGACCTGGAGAACATGTAAAACATTATGACATTGGGTGTTCAGATGAACTTCAAATCAAAGAGTCTTCTCTCATTTTATTTGAAGAACAAACAGTTAGTCCGGGTGTCATCCATCCTCTTGAGGAACATATGTCGACACACAACCAAACTGAAGACAAAGATATCATCAAGACTCTTTCCTTCGATTGCTCTCTACAGGAAACCCCCGAGGAGCCTTCTATAAGCCGCGCTGCTGAACAGTTCTGTAACGTCAGCGAAGCTCCAGGAGAGTCTCCCGTACAGAATCTGCATGAGAAGTCTCCCACTCAAGACTCAAGGGAATCGCCTAGAGACAGATCGATGGAAAATCAAAACAAGTGTGTACAGCCCCACAGCGCTCAGCTCCTGTTGAGCCCTGCTCTGACCTCAGCACCCTTCATAACCCAGCCCCCGCCCTCCTCTGCTCTCCTCTCCAGCCCCACACTGCCATCACTAGGACTCACCCCCCGTCTCCTGCCCCCGCCCTCCTCTGCTCTCCTCTCCAGCCCCACACTGCCATCACTAGGACTCACCCCCCGTCTCCTGCCCTCCTCCCCCTCTGCCCCTCCTCTCACCCTGCCTCCCCCTCACAGCCCGTCCATCCAGGCCCTCTCCCCTCCGGCTATCTCTCCGTGTCCATCCCAGATCCATCAGATCCAGGCTTCATCTGAGCCGCCGTGTACAGACAGCCAGGCCCAGAGGGTTGAAGCTCCTCCCTGCAGGACAGTCTCCGGCATCCTGCCACAGGGCTCAGGAGGGCGGGCGGAGACGGCGGAGGAACACATGATGAGATGCACACACACACTAAAGGTAGGATTCAAGGCTTTTATTGTCATGTGTGCATAGCTACAGTGTAGTTATGACAATTAAATGTTTAGGTCACAGGCTCCTCCAACAGTGCAACACAATAAAACAGATAAAAAAGTGCAAGTAAATAAAATAAAATAGAATATAGTAGAAATAGTGCAGGTACGACGTTGTATTTATGTACAGTTAAAGGGGCACATTACAGAAATTAAGAATTCGACCAAAATAAAATCCATGGCCTAGGAAAGTCTCATTAATGTTCCTGAACATGAGCTACTCTCTCTCAAAGCCACAATCCAGAATGAAGATGTGATGCTGTGTGATGTTTTTGTATATACACAAATAAGCTTTATTCTATCGTCGTTGTGAAATAGAAAAATGTACCGACACACTCAGAACGTTCCCCCAGCTGCTCTCAGTGTCCTTTATAATCGGTATGATAAGTCCCATGTCCCGTCTTTGTACTTTATGGCATCATTAGTTGACATTTTACCACTCTTTGATTTTGGGGAGAGTTAAGGCTCTCTAGGACCATAGGAGATAGCACTGAAGATAGTCATAGTTCCCCTTTAATGAAAGTTTGTTTTTGCAATGGCTGCAGCATCCACGTTTGAATCAAAGACAGAAAGTATTTGCAGATGCAATATATGTATCTGTGTAACATCTAAAACATGCTGTGTGTGTTTCCAGGCCCCGGCAGGAGGCTGTCTGGTGGATGCTTGCCTCCTGCGTGGAGCCTCCGGTGGTTTGTGTGTCGCCGCAGCAGGAAAGTGGGCCGTGTGTCTCTGGAGTCAGACTGCAGCTTCTGACTGGAGCCTGACACACACCTGGGCCTTCAATGAGGTCAGTGTGTCGGTGCAAATACATGCCTGAATATCAAAGTTATTAAAAAAAATTAAAAAACGCCATACATTCTGTGGTTTTGTCTTCTAAGAGGATTTTTTTTCTTTTCTGTTTTATATCAATGTAATTTCAATATCATTGGGTTTTACACTGATGGTCAGACAAAAGTAACAATGTAGTGACTTCACCTTTGGCTCTGGGGGCTAACAAACACTTCACAATTGTTTGAGTGTTTATAAATTGAGCAGTCAACCTAAAATAAGTGGGACATAATAATGTTTAAAGACATTAAGAAAAGACAAAAGTAATTGATGAAATGTACTGTTTCAAGGTCTAATGTGACCCTTTCTTAAACGACACAATTTATTCTGCCAAACATTTTCCAAACATTATCTTCCGTAATTGTCCGTAGGCATAATGGATTTCTATGTTGTTTTTTTTACAGCCAGTGATCGATGTGTTTCCTGTGCCGGACGCTGCAGGGCTGATGTGTGTGACTCTGGGTCAGTTAGAAATCAGAGAAGTGAGGTGAATACAACACGCTCAATCCGTCATTTAAATACGTATTCTAACATTGTTTTAACTCGTTTTCTGTACACTAACTATCCCTATAGCTAAAGTGAGGATATTTCTTCCATGTTAATCTCCAACTGTGTCCATGTATTTTGCTTAAAGGTCACCTATTATACAAAATCCACTTCTTCATGTCTCTTCTACATCAACATGTGTCCCCTCTGTGTAAAGAGACTCTGAAAGTTTCAGGAACAAAGATTCTCTCACTTTTTGTCCTGATCCATTTATATAAAAACTTGTCTGAAAATGAGCTGATCAGATTTTGGTCACTTTATGATGTCATAAAGATGTTTTGGCTTGGGTAACTATTAGCCAATCACCAACCAAGGTAACCCCCCCCCCCACCTTATCACCTGCATCTCCTCCTAGAGCACCATTGTGTTCTTTGTAACCAAATATCTCTCAGAGGGGCGTGGGGAGGGGCTCCTTATTTTCATCTAAAGCAACAGACAGAGAATCAGCACTTTTGAAACAGGGCTGAAACAGAGGGGATTATGGGATGCTGCAATGACCTGTTTGGTGTTTGGAGCCAAACACTTCAGAGACATGTTTTGTATATATCTGAGACCTATAATATATTGATGAAAAACAGTATAATAGGGGACCTTTAAGGAACCCAGCTGTTGACGCTTGTTAAAGGTACCTGTGTGTCTCCATGTGCACAGGATGCTGTCGTGCTGCAGCCTCTCCCAGCTGCTGCTCTGTGACGGCGTTGTTCAGGCGGTTGTGTGTGTGTCCAGGTCCAGAGTGGTAACTTCCTCACACTCAGCGTCTGGCTCCAGCCTGCAGGTGTTCACGCTCTCAGACAGCGGCAGGTAACACTGAGAGTTTGTCGAATTAAATCAAAGTTTATTTTTATAGCCCAATATCACAAAACACATTTGTCTCAGTGGGCTTTACAGATAACAAACATGAATGACAGTGCTAAAAGATAAATAAAATGACAAGATAGAATGTAAAATAAAAATACATGATGGGACTCAAAATGTAGGACTCAGGAGGACAAACATCGGATAGCTTTAACTACACCATTATGTTTAAAGGAAAGTCTTCAGGACACTCTTAAATGTTTGGACACTGTCTGCTTTTGTGTTATTTCCTCATTGCTCAGATACATAATTCTTCTTTCTCTCTCTCTCTCTCTCTCTCTCTCTCTCTCTCTCTCTCTCTCTCTCTCTCTCTCTCTCTCTCTCTCTCTCTCTCTCTCTCCTCTCTCTCTCTCTCTCTCTCTCTCTCTCTCTCTCTCTCAGCACACCGGGCCCTCAGCCTCTGGTGTCTCCTGGTGTTTGTGTCGGGGCCCTCGCTGCTGTGGCTGGACTTCCTGACGCTCTGATTGGCTCTGATGAGAGCGGCCGCCTCTTTGTCTGGTAAGCAATAAACTCACCAAAATTATTCTTCCTGTTGAACAATGGAGCAAGAACATTTGGCATCTTATTTGACATTAAAATAGGAATTTCTCATAAATACACTCAACATTAACTGCACTGCATTGACACTCGCTTGCTCAAAACTGTTTAAGCAAAGCTCCTTTTTGAAATATTTGAGTAAGGTATGCAATACAAATGTTGATCATGGTATTACATCATTTTGTTTGTATTTTAAAAAGGGCGGAGCACTGTAGAGGTGTGTTTTGCAAATACTCTTCTTACATTTCTCTTAATGTACTTCTACAGGAAAAGAAAAACACTATTAGTATCCAAGTATTTGGTAAAAATGCAATTTTTTACATAAAGTATATGAATAAATATAAAAAGGAATATTGACTCAAACATTTTTTAAATGTATTTATTGACAAGTCAAATGCTATAAATGGTTAGAATAATATCTATATTTGGCTCTAATGTGTAATGTTGCTGCTGTTTGCAGTTTAATTTATTTGTGTTTCCGTGTTACAGGAACTTAAAGACGGGTCAGCTGCTGCAGAGAATCATCCTCGGAGAAGATTTATCACACATGGCCTGTCTCAGAGGATACTCCTACTGTGTACGTCTATCTGCTTTTCATATAAGGGGTGCTGCCTGTTTTCTTTAAAGGGGACCTATCATGCAAAATGCACTTTTTGATGTCTTTTATACATAAATATTAGGGCTGTCAAGTTAACGCGTTAATAACGCGTTAACACAAAAAAAAATTAACGCCACTAATTATTTTAACGCGATTAACGCATGTGTATTTTTTGTCCTCGGCCGCCCCGTAGTTTCAGAGCGCATCGAGTTTAAAATACCATCTACATGATGATGCTGACAGCCCAGCTCCTGCCGCCCGCTTGTGGCAGACCACACTTCCACGCTCACCGGCAGGCCCGGACTGGCCATCGGGAGGACCGGGAGGGAGTGTGTATGTGTGGCGCGACTCGCGCGAGCGAGGCACACCTTACGTGTTGTTGTTGTTAGCATCTGGTGCTAGCTAGCTGCGCTAACGGATATAAGGAGCTGTTTCAATGACATTTCGCCGACAACTGCGCCGAGCACTTGACTTTATGCAGGTAGCCAGACAGTGGGACATTGTACGAAAAGTCAGCGCACTCAGCACGGATAGTACGCGCTACATGATTGCAGCGTCCAGGCAGCACACGTTCGAGCATATATGCCTTGAGCTGCACATAGGCAAGGCAAGGCAAGGCAAGGCAAGGCAAGTTTATTTATATAGCACCTTTCAACACAAGGTAATTCAAAGTGCTTTACAAAAATGGAAGACATTTTAAAAATGGCATTTAAAATCAGTCATTAAAAGGAAAGATAATAAATAAACATTAAAAGAAAAAATACATGGATAAAAGTTAAAAGTTACAGTGCAGTTTAAGATGTGAATAGTTCAATTAAAAGCAGCGGCAAAAAGAAAAGTCTTCAGCCTGGATTTAAAAGTAGTAAGAGTTGCAGCGGACCTGCAGGTTTCTGGGAGTTTGTTCCAGATATTCGGAGCATAATAACTGAATGCTGCTTTACCATGTTTAGTTCTGACTCTGGGGACAGAAAGCTGACCAGTCCCTGAAGACCTGAGGGTTCTGGATGGTTCATAATTTAGCAGTAGGTCAGACATGTATTTTGGGCCTAAACCATTCAAAGCTTTATAAACCAGCAACAATATTTTGAAATCTATTCTTTGACACACAGGAAGCCAGTGTAAAGACTTCAGAACAGGAGTGATGTGATCCACTTTCTTAGTGTTAGTGAGGACTCGAGCAGCGGCGTTCTGAATTAGCTGCAGCTTTCTAATAGATTTTTTAGTGAGGCCTGTAAAGACACCATTGCAGTAGTCGAGTCTACTGAAGATAAAAGCATGGACAAGTTTTTCCAAATCCTGCTGTGACATTAGTCTTTTAATCCTAGATATGTTCTTTAGGTGATAGTAGGCTGATTTAGTAACTGTTTTAATGTGACTGTTGAAACTCAGGTCAGAGTCCATGACTACACCTAGATTTCTGGCTTTATCTGTTGTTTTGAACATTGCAGACTGAAGCTCAGCGCTAACTTTTATACGTTCTGCCTTGGCTCCAAAAACCATTACCTCAGTTTTATCTTTGTTTAATTGGAGAAAGTTCTGACACATCCAGTCATTGATTTGTTCAATGCACTTACTCAGTGTTTGAATTGGAGCATAATCTCCTGGTGAAATTGTTACGTAAATTTGTGTGTCATCCGCATAGCTATGGTAACTTATTTTGTTGTTTTTCATTATCTGAGCCAGTGGTAGCATGTAGATGTTAAAGAGAAGAGGCCCCAAGATGGAGCCTTGAGGTACCCCACATGTCATATTTGTCAACTCAGATGTGTATTTACCTATAGAAATAAAGTTTTTTCTGTCCTTTAAGTAGGACTCAAACCAATTTAGAACTGTTGCCGAAAGTCCCACCCAGTTTTCTAGTCGGTCTAGTAATATGTTGTGGTCAACAGTGTCAAATGCAGCACTGAGATCTAATAATACTAACACTGAAGTTCTGCCACTGTCTGTGTTTAAGTGGATGTCATTGAAGACCTTTACAAGAGCAGTCTCAGTGCTGTGGTTTGGACGAAATCCTGACTGGAACACATCCAAACAGTTATTTAAATGCAAGAAGTTACTCAACTGTTGAAATACTACTTTTTCAATGATTTTACCTAGAAATGGCAGGTTTGATATTGGCCTGTAATTGTTCATTACTGAAGCATCTAGATTATTCTTTTTTAGGAGCGGTTTAATGACTGCAGTGACATAGCTCCAACGATCCATCACAGTGTCTCCACACACACACACACACACACACACACACACACACACACACACACACACACACACACACACACACACACACAATTATTGTATGAGAGAGGTTCCAGGTTGAATTGAGGCGAATATTTGTAATGTTCAGGTTGTTGTGTTTAATATTCATGAGAATATTTGTCATTGTTCAAATGATAATAAACAAACATATAAAGCATATTTGTCCACTCATATGTTGATAAGAGTATTAAAAACTTGAAAAATATCCCTCTAAGGTACATTTAGAACAGATAAAAAATGTGCGATTAATTTGCGATTAATCGCGATTAACTATGGACAATCATGCGATTAATCGCGATTAAATATTTTAATCGACTGACAGCCCTAATATATATGTGTCCCCGGTGTGTCAGGGAACTCACGCAGCGTCAGAAAATAAAACCCTCTCTCTTTTCCTCCGTACCCAAATCTCTAAAAATGGGGCTGCAACGGAGCTGATCCAGATTTGCGTCCGATATGACGTAATATCGGAAATGTGGGCTGGCTTTACACCCACAGCACTATCAGAAAGTTGCTATCAGAAACAATGCCCGACTGTTTTGGACGTAATATGGTCGGTGTTTACATTAGCATCGCTAACACTCAGAGCTAACCTGTACTGGAGGGCATGTGTGTGAAGAAGCAGGAAATAAAAAGGAACTCACCTTGTGGTATAACCGGCAAGAGAGAAAGCCTTTGAGCTCCATACTGTTTCTGAATTAATCCTTGATAATCCATGATATGGCGTTTCATCACAGCAGAATTTAGTTTAGACAATAGCTGCCGGGTCCCGCATGAGCTCAGCCCCCTCCTTTTTTTTTTTTTTTTAAAGCTTTATACCCCAAATCAGCACTTTTGAAACAGGAAGTGAAATAGAGGGATATGAGGCATGGCTAGAATGGGTGATCTGTTTGGTATTTTGAGCAAAACACTTCATAGACATGTTTTTTATATATTTTTATATATCTGAGACCTATGCTATTGCCTAAAAATAGCATGATAGGTGACCTTTAAATTACCTTTCTCACTCTTCAGAGGGGTTTAACATGCTTTGTGTGTTTGTGTGGCTGCACAGGGAGTGTTGTTTGTCCTGCTGCAGCATCAGTTGCTCAGCTCTCTGGAGGAAGAAGTAAAAGAGAAGGAAGAGGAGAGTAAGAACATGGCTCTGTTCTCCTTGGTCGCCATTAATCCTCTGAGTGGAAAATCTGCCCTCGCTACTCGACTGTATCCGCCCAACGCCTGGTCCGGCAGGTGAGAGGAAGACTGATGTGTTTGTGTGTCTCTTTATATACACACACTTTTGTTTATACAATCTAATAGGGCACATTAGTAGAACAAACTGCCTGTAGAAATACAAAATGTGTTTGGTCTTTACTTTTTAAAAACACACTTTTATAGACTAGCTTTTAAGTCTATGCACCCTATCCAGTAAAGTCTTGATGTGTTCTGAATTGCATCTTTTTTATGTGTTTAGTTGGATCTGTTTTCCTCCTGTATGACCTTTTGATTGGTTCTGCCTTTGCATTTCTACAACAATGTTCTCAAAAAGTGCCAAACAAATAAAGGTTATTATGATTATTTGATGTAACAATCTGTATCTGTGTGTGTTCCTCAGGCTGTGTGAAGCAGACGTTATCGGCTCCAGCGTGGTGGGCCTGAGTCAGAGCGGCTGTGTGTGTGTGTGGCAGCTCTGGCCCCGGGGGGCCTCCAGGATGGTGCCGGCCCCCGAGAGCGAGGGCTGGCAGCTGGCTCGATGTGGGGGAGAGGGAACGCTGCTGACTGGACATCACAACGGAGACGTCACCCTGCACTGCTACAGTCAGACTTCTCTCTGCCACCAATAAGACTTTCTGAAGATCTGATCACTTTTATCCCAAAACAATGTCCGCCCATCGCTGTGTGAATGTTTACATGAAGATTTTAACCTTTTAAAATACTTCAAAATCACATTTGGTTCTGTGGCTTCTCGTAATCCCTGTTATTTTGTTGATTTACAGGTTCATGTTTGTATGTTGTGCCTCTACTGTGACACACTGTTTACATGCTTAAATGTTCAATGCTCTGAAACCTAAACTACACACTACGGGGAAGGGAAAACCCCAAAAAGCATAATAAAGTAGTCTCTGCTAAGATTTTGTAAACTGAACATATTCAACAACTCATTGAACTGCTGGTACTCAGAAAACAAGACTGAATTATTAAAGGTTTAGCACTTCCTATTGGTTTTCCTTCAGCCTTTCTACACTGTTAGTGTTTATAGAGCCCCAGTATCACACACTGAACCTCTCTGTGAGAGATTGTTTACTTAATGATTGATTTTCACTTTTTAGACCAATGTAAAACCAACTTTGTGTTTTATTACTGCTGCTGTTATGAATGTTCCTTACTGTTGTTACTTGAATATATTGTTGCATGTCTTATATTTAAAAGAAAGAAAACTGTTGCCAAAGTTTGTTCTTATCATTTACATTAAACCTTAAATATGTTGTATTTTTGTCTCCTTCTTTTATTTCTATAGTTTATTCTATTGCCCTAACAAACGCATAAAACACAATAATGTTTGAATAACAGCGCTATTTGTTACAATTCTCAATACTAAGATAACTTCACAGTCGGTACGAACTAGACTGTACTAAAATATTAGTAAAATATTGTATTTGTAATTGGGGTCATATAGTTATGATCTCACCCTGAGACATGCATGGTGTGTTTTTGTTGCTTTATTTAATTGTGGATGTTAAGAACTAACTGGGAAATAAAATATTTGAGAAATGTCTGTAACCTTAATAGCAGTTTGTCAAATCCTAAAAAGAACCTAAGCTGTTTGGAGATCTGTGTCAGCCAGGGGGCGCCAGACTGATTTACTCTACATGGTTCATTGGCATATGACTGTTTTCAGACTGCTTTTTAAAATGTCTACCTATTGACATTAAGACAGTTTAAATCTTCCCCGGCTCCAAAGTCAAACTACTGAGGTTGTTCATCTTGGGTTTTTAATAAATACTGGGGTGTATCGGGGGCCACTTGCAAGAATGATGATTCATATAGTGCAAAGGCTGTTTCCTGTGAAAAAACGTGTTTAAATTGTACTCCAAATGATGGTGTGTAGCACTGCAGATCATTATATTTCAACATTTCCTGTATTCTTATATCAGTGAAAGTAAAGTGTGAAAACATTCTGTGTAATTGGACTCTTTAATAAGCACGACTTTGCTTCAAGTGTGCATAAGAATGTTAAAATAAACCCAAAAAAGAAATGTACATTCTGAGAAAACACTCATTAAAGGTAGGGTAGGTAAGAATATGGAAACCAGCTCGAGTGCGCTGGAATTTAAAAGTACACAACCGAAAACAATCTGCCCCTTCCTTCAGACTTCGTTACAGAACCCCTCCTCCAACACACACGAACGCACGAGATAAGTTTGTGCACAGATGGGAGGCTGACAGGCAGATAGGCCATCCAGTTATTTTAGTCAGGCCGGCTCAGATGATTGGTTGTGCTTTTTACAGTATTAGGCTTCCACTGATGACATTTTATGTATTTATTGTCAAAGCATTTAATATTCATTGCCATCGGGATGTTAAGAGCATTCCATGGAATATAACAAAAAGTGTTTCTGAAGTGAATTACCTACCCCACCTTTAAGTCGATTTTCCGGATTTAACAGAACTGCAGATAGTTCAAATTTGCATTTAAAATGAAAAATGACTTTTCTGGTCAAGCGTTGTCAAGAATGAAATACAGTAGTTTTTGCACAGCCAAATTCTAATATCTTATAAGCAGCACATGAAACAGACTCCAGTAATTTGTCAAGTTCAAGAGAATCTTTATTTAAACTTGGGTAAAATCAATCCATCTTTACAACAGGTATGCATATTCAGAAGTATATGTACAAGTTTTCGTGTTGAAAAAGGACAAGACATCTAAAATAGACTTGTAAAAAAATAGTAAAATATAGCTACAGGAAGAATATGCATGATGAAGAAATATTAACATGGTCCATTTCTCTACATACAACACAGATAAAAAGACAAAACTAGAGAAGCAGACCTGAGAAGCTTTTTCCATCCACACAGCCATCTGAGCCTCAACCCGCACCATGTGATTTAAAAAACACGACTGAACAAACAATCAAACAAGCAGAGAAATCTGGGAGCAATGTCTCCCGTTCAACATCCATCTGTCCCTTTAAGGCTTATCTTATCTGCAGCCATCTTTGATTTACCGTCAGCAGGATGTGTTGTCAAGATTAAGCTTCATCAAGAGTTTCCTTTAAACAGCAGGAAATAAAAGTGGTTGAGTTCATGCCCAAAATCCAACAATGTACAACATATAGAAGATTAATTTTCAATGTACAGCCTGAAAGGTGAATAAAATACATGAGAATTTAAGTGTCTGTTGCTGATTATAGACAGACGGTGATTAAAGGCGTGTCTATTGTGTGGCGGGGGAAGGCTTGCTGTGCAGCAGCTTCTCCACCATTAGCTTAGCGTAGCGCAGGCGGCTGGCCAGCTCCTTGGTGCAGCCGAACTCTTCGAGCAGCGACAGCTTGTACGTGCGGAACTCGCGCTTCTCGTCGATGTAGGTGACCGCGTTCATGAGCGGACACAGGATCAGCTTGGTGTGGTCCTGGAAGAGGGGGGGGGGAGAGGAACATAAGTTCACAATCGAGCCGCAACTTATGATTATACATCGATATCTGCCCATTATCTTTTAAATTAAAATCGGCCGTCGATACAAACATTTCTCAGATTCTCAATGAGATGTCTTTAAAAAAGGTCTTGTTTTGTAAAAAACTAAAGATAACAATTTTCATGTCCAATATGAAACCGAAGACGACGAAGCGTCTATATCTGAGGCAAACAGCTGCATTTACTTGAAATATGATCTTAGATTTTAAATATACTAATAATGTTTGTGTGATTTTCTGGTTTTAAATGCAGGAATCCGGTAAACATTTCCTGAATTTTCTAGCTGATCCATCGTTTGCCTTTACCTGATTAATAATTAAATTCACATTACTGATGACTATTAATCAAAATTATCATTGAGTTAATATTTTGGGGAAGATAGTCTACCCTACAATAGCGGCAAAAAAACGTCAAGCTATGTGGTGAAAAAAATAATGCCATATAAGAGAACTAAACATCGAACACCAGTGAACCATGAATAGTTGAAACTCTATATTAGAATCTGTGGGCTAAACAAAATAAGCTAATGTTTAAGAGACACCGGTGGGAGGAGATGTTGTGCGTCTCACCAGGAAGAAGTTGATCTGAACGGTGCCGTTGGTGAGGTGCAGCACGATGGCGCTCTTGGTCCTGAACCACAGGGAGAGGTAGGGCAGGCGTGCCAGCTCGTCTCCGTCCCGCCGGGCCATGTTGGCGCCGGCCTTCAGCAGGTGTTCGCTCATGTAGTTACGGAAATATTTCAGCAACGTTATCTAGCAGGGGGAAGGATGACAAGTTTGTAAGAAAAATGATATGTAACATAAAAGTCCAACCTGAAAAGTATAGCCCATTAATAGCTTTCAAATAAATACAAAAAACACTTCATCCTAAAATATAATGGAGAAACAGTTCAAAGTACCAGCAGAAAATGGAAATAGTCGAAAAAAAAAATTGTGGACCCCTCACCTTCTTGTTGAGAGCCACGGGGAATGAGCGCGCGCTGAGGTAAGACTCTGTGGCCGTCTTGTCGATGTACTGCAGGCTGTCTCCGTCGGTGTACATCATGAGCCGCGTGTAGTCATTGAACAGCACCCCCACACTGTTGTCGCAGAGCTGGTAGCCTGGAATACACATTAAAAAACACGTTATAATGAAACCTGTTATTAAATTTGCCAATTGAAAAAAGGTTAACCTAAAAATAAAACATGTCAGCCCTATCTAGGGGAAATCTACACTTCCTCAACACTCTTTCAAACCTACTTAAAACAAATCTAATTGGGCATTTCTCTGCAGCCATGTCTTGTTACTTGGGAGACATTTAACAAAATAAATGATGGACTCATGTTTCTAAAGCAGTTTCAGGGCCCTGGTGTTGTCCACTGGCACACCGTCTTTCACCAACTTGTGTTTTCTTGTGAATCATACAGGGATTTCAACTTTATTTTGTTTTGCAAAAAATGACTGCAGAGTTTAATAACCTTGCTTTCCATGATATGTCAATGAATCAAAGAGTTAGTGTTATCAGTTAGACTTCAGCTTTTCTTGCTGGGAAAAATGTCTATTTGCTCAAAATAACTGGCTGAGTCCCAATTGTGACACCTGAAGCACCCAGATCAAACAACAGCCCCATATGAGCTGTGAAGGACAAAGCAAATGTTTTGTATGTTGCTTTAAAGATATGATAGATTTTGAATATCGTCAATGGCAAAAGAGTTGCGTTTTCCTAGTTTTTAAGGGTGCATCACTGTAAACCCACAAATGTTCTGAACTAACCAGACAACAATTGTTGCGTGTCATTTTTTTGTAAAAGCAAGTTTTTAAGCAGTATTTGGTCTAAAAATATTCTGACATTTGATTTTCTCAACAGCAACCAACCAGAGGATTTAGAAAATGTTTCATTTGGCTGCTAGATGGATGTAGAATCGGAGTCTAATTCTTACCTAATCCATATTTGTCAGAGTAGTCGACCCATTTGCTGATCCAGAAGATGGGAATACATGCGGGATCCTCTGCCTCCTCTGGAAACACAAAAACAGAACAAAACCTTTGTAAGTAAAGTTCAGTGGCACAAAAAATATCCAAACTTTTGAAATGTGCAAAATTGAATCTTATTAGAAAAATGATTTGAGTCTGCACTCACCTTGGCAGATGACTGCCTTCTCAGAGGGCTTAGCAGCGATGATGGTGTTGAGCTGCTGCAGCATCTCTTTAATGTGGCACTCTGCCGGCTCAGGCTCCCTACATAGAAAACACAACGGTTACACATACACAAAGATGACTTTTGTAAAATAATGTGACACAAATTCATTCTAAATTGTCACACGCTGGCTTTCTCTACACTGTAGACACTTCCATTCAGGTTATTTATTTGTACCCGTAGGGAGATATGGTTTGCAGATAAAAGGGATCCATATGACGCACATTCTTAAACAACGCAACAGAGAAATCTCAACAACAAAAAGTACCCCTGCTCCGCCACATCTAAAAACCACTAGTACAAACAGGAGGAATCCACAAAGTTAACATTTCAAACATCTCTCACCTTTGCACATGCTCATCCTTCATACCCACGTTCTCTGTCCCTGCTAGAAAAGGAGAGAAAACAACATCATGAACTCTATATCCAACCGAAACATTTCAGAATAAATGGAATAATATAACTTCTGCACAGAGTTAGATGTCATTTTCTGCTGGGCCTGTTACCTTGGTTGTTGATAGCAGTCAGTGGGCGTCTCTGGCTGAGCTCTGTAGCGGTGGTGGGGGCGATGGAGAAGCGGGGGGGAACCGTGAGGCACGTGGTGGGCAGACGTACGGGGATGTAGCCGGTGGTGAAGTACTCGTCCACTTCCAGCTCAGCGATGGTCGGCCTCTGGGAGGGTTCGGCATGCAGCATGCGCTTTATGAGGTTGGAAGCCAACGGGTTGATGTGCTGTGGAAAGAGATGGGAATGCAGGTTATTAGATAAGTCAAACAAAACATGTGTAAAAACGATATGTTGAAGGAATATTGAGTGTTACTTTAGCAGAACTTACCCAGGGGATGGTGTAGTTGTTCTTCTTGATGCGGTTGTAGGTCTCTTTCAGACAGGAGGTCTCAAATGGGGGTTTACCCACCAACAGAGTGTACCTGAGAGGATACAGACAGTGAGGAGGTTAATCTGACTGAATCTTTTGCTCAAGTGACTTTCTTTTTATATTCAGTCAAACTGTGACTTACAAAATGCACCCAAGCGACCAGATGTCCACTTCATAGCTGTGGCCTTTCTTACAAAGCACTTCAGGGGCAATGTAGTTGGGCGTTCCACACAGGGTCTTCTTCCTCTCGCCTTCAAACTCGATCTTAGTGGCCAAACCAAAGTCCCCTGGAGTAGAAATACAGAAAAGCTTTTGAAAAAGGCAATGACTAACTAAAACATTTTTGTAGTATTCGTTTTTGGGACATCTGTGTGCCATGTTCCCTAATGAAAACGTTTTTGTTGGTTTGTTACTCCTGAGTCTTTTCACCACTATTCATCTAGGGTGACACATTTCAGTGGGGGCTGTGATGAGGGCTTTGCTTTATCACAGGACTAAAGGGTTTATTTGAGAGTCTTGTTAAATGTTACTGGTATCCATTACCCTTCTCAGGTGAGACAAGAGGATTGAAGTGAAATCATATGCAATCTAAAGGAGTAAATTACCGATCTTGAGCTCCATGTCATCATTAAGGAAGATGTTGCCCAGCTTCAGGTCTCTGTGGATGACTCTGTTGTTGTGCAGGTAGTGGACACCCTTCAGCAGCTGGGTCATGTAGTAGCGAACCTCAGGTTCTGTCACAGCCTTACGACGCTTATGCAGCTCCAACAAGGACTGAAATGGAGAAGATCATTCAATTCAATGTGAAAAAACCCCACAATGAAACAAAGTGTGTAATGAATTTTCTTTCTGTGAGACTTGAAAGTCAATGACAAAAAAGCAGGAGTTAAAAGGGACAAATGAGAAATGGTTTGATGATTAGTGGATGGATTTGACAATGATTCCAAAGCAAATATTTGGGAGGTGACCATGGCAGCACAAACAAGGAAATAAAGTCGATAAACATGAATTATTTTCCGTGTAATGACTTATTTTACTTTATATAATTAGATACATTAGGCCACCGTGTTCAGAATGCCATTGACGGTTCCTTCAATGTAAGCCACCACCCCTCGGACAACTACAGAGACCGCCGTGGAAACCGTTGGCCCTGTGAAGTGTATACACTAAAGAGCATTACTTTTTGAGTATTTAACTCACCCTTCTCCTGCAGATTTCCAGAACAACAAAGACAAAGTCGTTATCTTCGAAAAACCCATGGAAACCCACGACGTTTGCGTGGCTCAGACTCTTGTGAATGGCGATTTCAGAGGTCATTTTCTCCCTCTGGTGCTGCTTCAGGATCAGGGACTTGGGCACGATTTTCCCGGCGAAAACTTGCTTCGTCTCCATGTCTGTGATTTCGTAGCATTTTGCGAAACCACCCTTACCGAGGAATCTCCCCCTCGTATATTTTTTCATGGTGCGTGGATCAACCAGGACCTCTGGGATTTCTTTGAGAGGAGCTGATTTTGGGTCGACATTTGCCGACGGATTCGCCGGCTTTGCAATAGCTGCACTCATTTTGAATTAAAGAGCTCTCTGCGTCTTTTACAAAGGAAACGCTTAAAACTAACAAGTAGAGGTATCGATATTTTGTGAAAAGGTTCAAAGTATGGTTAACCGACGTTAGTTTAGCACTGGAAGCTAGCTTGCGCCCATGCACTGGTGAATTCAAATCAAAACTAATGTTAACCACGCTTTAACGCGAACGTTAGACAAACCTTTGATTCAGCATTAAACAAAATGAAGTGAATGAGAATCTAAAGATTTAAAAACCTGAAACTAACCATGTAACTAATCGCCAGACGCGTCTCTCGGTGCCTGCAGCGTTACTCCGTCCTGCCTTTTGACAACAGTCTCTGGTACAAATTTAAAAAGCTGCCTCGTCGTAACGGCGCTCTCTGATTGGTCCACTCGATTTGAATTCCAATGTGGTGCAGCAAAGCATCCTGGGAAGATGAGTACAAACATAGCCAATCACCGACGAGAAAAGCATACGCTGCGTTATGATTGGCTGAATTCCGTTTGCTAGTCGTGCGTCATTTCCTAAACACAGTGCTTGACGGGAAATGCAGTTGGATTGGCATTTAAAACAGTTGTTGAGGAGAGAACAGGTTGTTTTGTGGTTCTTGCTTTACGAGAAAATGTTTTAAACATATTTACTTAGGTTACAATCGCAATAGCACGGTGTATGTGGTATATTTACTGTGATATATCAAAGATAATGTGGCTATTAAATGTAATCAACGATCAAAAGTGAAAGTATTTCGAGGTATTTGTATTCAGCTAATGGTTACCAGATAAGAGGTAGTACATTCATAATTGATAACTCAGGTGTTTTCTACCCCACTCAGACCCGGTGTTGTGTCAAATTATGCACCCCCATCATGAAATGCCCCCCTTGTCACGGGAACGCGCATTTCTAAATGACACGTTTACACCTTAAAACGATGTTTAAAACGAAAAGTAAACGTTCAGGGTTTTTATTAATGGTAATTTTCAGACTGTGAGTTGTTTAGTGCAGTGGTTCTCAACTGGTTTGGCCTCGGGACCCACTTTGTCCTTCGTCAATGAGTCGCGACCCACCATTTTGAACCACACTAATTTAATTCACAAAATGTAGTGCAGTAATATAAAATATTAATATAAAAGTGAAGAACAGTGAATACATTTTCAATAAATGTAGTCCATGGGAACACAACCACATCTTCAACATTGTTAGCAAGGCAGATTATATCCCTTCACAGAACTACAGTATGCTTTTTAAACAAGTTCAAATTGGTGATGGTCATCAAGTTTTTAGAGTCAAAATTGTAATGTATGTAATAAATAAAAAGGCACACTTGTGTTGTATTACATAAAAAGGCAGACTTATTTTCAATAACAGGCATGCTTTTGAGAAGGCATGAGAAGAATACAGAACTGTGTGTATGTTGTATCATTGTCCCCCCCAACAAACAAAAAATATACGTTCAAACCAGATTTAGAATAAAAAATAAATACAATTAAAACAGTAACAGAGTAAAAGAGTGCAAATATCCCATAAACAAATAGTTATGATGATAAATAATAAATAAATAACTGCACAGACAGAGTGATTATAACGAATAATAGTAAAAAGTACATATACAGGCATGCTTTTTAAACAAGTGTAAAAGGATAATGTTATTAAAGTTTCAAGAACCAAAATTGAACTGTGGAAGAGCTTATCTGGGATACATTCTGAACAACATTGTATTGTGACAAATATTCAGTGTCAGCATTTACTGAACTTACTGTAACACATCTTAGTTTGGGGGGAACTAGTGGGATAGCTGGGGATGCTTTTTGTTCCTGACAAGGGTCTCAAAGTCTGGGGTGATGGTAGACAAAGCAACTCTGAGGTCATGCTCAATGTTCAATTTGTTCCTCTGCTTTGTCTTCAGCTGGACCAGAGCTGAGAAGCCACTTTCACAGAGATAGGTAGTGCTGAATGGCAGGATGATTTTTGATTGCATGTGTGGTGAGGGATGCATACTCAGTAATCACAGCACTGCACCAGAACTGGGGAGGGTTACCTCAGTGAATTTCTTTTTCAGCGACCGATCACATGACAGCTCCACCAGCTGACTTTCTTCGTTGCTCGGCAATGTGGCGCTCGACTCCGAAAGGAACCCGTACCCAGTCATCATCCCCGTGTTTCTCAGGGAAGTCATCGTTGAACCGATCCTGCAGTTTGCTTAGATGCGCCCTGATAGTTTCATTCAATTGCTCCTGTAAGTCCCCTTCCCACACATGCCTCACATAAACAAGTAAAATAGCATGGCTCGCGATGTCTGTGGACTCGTCCATCTGTAATGCATAGTGAGCACTTGCCTTGATGCGAGCTGTGGTCTGTTGTTGAATGTCATTGGACATTTCTTCAATCCGCCTACTGATTGTATCGTTTGATAGTGGTATGGTCTTCAGTTTATCCGCCGCAGATTGATCCAGCAGCTCTCTGACCATGTCGATGGCGGCAGGTAAAATAAGGTCCTCTGCAATGGTGTGGGGCTTTTTGCTCTTTGCAATACGCTGAGCTACGAGGTAAGATGGCCTGCTCTTGTTTCGAACATGAAGAGGTCAGGCACTGTTGTATGGGCTCAGAACAGTCTCATAATACACACATGCACACAGAAGGATTCACACTTGTATTTCATGATCAACAAAAGGATTCACACTTGTATTTCCGGATCCACACTTGTGTTTTTCAATGCACACACAAATGTGTTCCGTTTCATATACATGTAAATAAAATCCAAATACAGAAAAAAGTTTTACATATGTATTTTTGATCCTCACATATTTGTTTTCCGTTTAAATCCCCTGAACCTGCAAACACAAACCGCTTTCTGTGCATGGATTGCTCTGCATTCGTGTGTGGGTTTTTTGAGACTCCCCTGACGGTCACCCGATTCGTACTTGTAATTTTTTCTATCTATAGCCAATCAGATGTCTCCTCAATTCTAAGCCAATCACATGAGCGCGCCCCCACGAGGGTAGATTTCTTGCGTTCATGTCACTTCATATACGCATTTTGCGTAGTCCGGAGCAGGGTTTCCGCGGACAGAATTTAATTTTACCGGACAAATTTGAAACTTACCGGTCATGTTTCAATAATAATAATAATAAGAATTGTGTAGCAGCGTTTCCGTTAGGTAATTACCGGACTATGACCGGATAATAACACGGGAGTAAGGATCATCTCTTTTCCTCTCTCCCTCCCTCTCTCCTGACAGCCCGTCAGTTTCTCATGCAGCTCGCTAAAACTTCACTCGCGTTTATGTCCATATCGATCAGATCCAGCTCTCCTGATCGGCCTTTATAGAGAGCACCGATCAAACTATTAAGAGTGAATATCGGCCGATAATGACCGGCGGGGCTCCCCCCGTTGACAGTTCACTGTCTAGCACTGGCTTCGTAGTGCACTGATCGATTAGGCTAAGCTAACCTGTAGCTGCTCCCTCCACACTCACAACAACTTCATACAGACATAAATAAAGCAGCTGATCGCCATACAGGAAACACACATTTAAAACAGTTTTGCCTGCCGTTTTTGTGTACACAAGCATTCATTAATGGTTCGGAAAGTGGCACTGTACCTTAATAATATAAAGGCTTGTATTTGCGTGCATTTCCTGATCGGAAAGTGGTAATGTACTGAGAGTGGAGGTGTCCTGAGATTAGCGCCTGCAGGCAGGCTCCATGGACCTGTCAGCTCCGGACAGCGCAAAATGCGTACATGAAGCGCTACGTCATGAACGCAAGAAATCTACCCTTGTGGGGGCGCGCTCATGTGATTGGCTTAGAATTGAGGAGACATCTGATTGGCTATAGATAGAAAAAATTACAAGTACGAATCGGGTCACCGTCAGGGGAGTCTCAAAAAACCCACACACGAATGCAGAGCGATCCATGCACAGAAAGCGGTTTGTGTTTGCAGGTGCAGCGGTTTTAAACGGAAAACAAATATGTGAGGATCAAAAATACATATGTAAAACTTTTTTCTGTATTTGGATTTTATTTACATGTATATAAAACGGAACACATTTGTGTGTGCATTGAAAAACACAAGTGTGGATCCGGAAATACAAGTGTGAATCCTTTTGTGGATCATGAAATACAAGTGTGAATCCTTCTGTGTGCATGTGTGTATTATGAGACTGTTCTGAGCCCATACTGTTGCGATGTCCTCAGCTCTGTGAGTCGTCTTTGAAAGAACTCAACAGGTTAATCTTTATAAGCGGAGTGTTTAGTTTCCAAATGCCGCTTCATTTTTGACGGCTTCATGCTCTCTCGTGCCAGTATTTCACTGCAAACAACACACTGAGGTTTTGGTCCCTCTCTTTTATCTTCAATGTATGAAAATCCATACTTAATATATTCAGAATCATACCTGCGTGTCGCCATGTTTACAATTTGAATGAATGAGCGGTAAATACTGATAACGTAAGGCAGCACGTTGTCATGACATTGGGCGTTGTCATGACAACCCACTTTTGGGTCGCGACCCACCAGTTGAGAACCACTGCCCTAGAACTCTGTTTACTGTAAGTACAGTAAAAGTACTGAGTTATAATTAAGTACACAAATGACATCACCCATCTCTTAAGAGAGCTAAAGGTGACCTGTGCAGCAACACATTTCAATAAATATTTGTCAATACTAAGAGCTGCTAGATTGTGCTGCTGTGATGGAATATGTATGCAAGGAGAATAAGAACATACCATGTGGTCCAGCTGGAGTCTCATCTGCCTCCTGATCCCTGCCTCTGTCCCTCCTTCTGACACTTCAGCTTTATTCCTCACATACATTTCTTCTTCTTCACTAATGTCTTCATCTCCTCCTGGCTTCCTCCTGCTCTGACCCTCCTGGTCTCTTCAGTGTACTGTCTTTTCCTTTTCCTCTTTCTACTCATCCTGATCACTTCTCAGATATGTCTTTTTATTTTTGTTGAATCACTCCAGCTACTCTGTCCTGGAAGAGTCTACTTGTGAAAAGCACTGGTACAAATGCTTACAACTTTACATGTTAGGGCCATGTAGGCCTAGCTAATAAGTAGCATAGCCAATAATAAATATAAAATCAGAAAGTATTTATCAAGCGCATACAGGCAGCTGCGTTTAGATCCAGTTTGACGGTAAAGGATGTATCCTGGTTTAATTTATCTGGCCTCATTGCTGTGATGTGTAATATACGTGGATTTAATAGTATACGTGCTGGACTCAACCGGCACATAAATGACCCACCACTCAGTCTGTCCTGGTCCATCCTCAAAGACACCGAGTTCACAACTTGCAACAATGTGTGTGTGTCGGCGTTGTGAAAATGTTGAGAAAGAA